CACACACACACACACACACACACACACACACACACACACACACACACGGTCCATGCTCAAATTGAGGAAATTTTGCTTAAATGAAGTTAAATACATTATTTCCAGACTTCTTGTAGTAAGATGCTAATGTACATTGTGATTCTCTAAGATGGTGGTTCTCAAACTTCAGTGTTTTTCAGCATCACTGGGCAGGCTTGCTAAAACACAGATCGGTAGGCTCTACCACCAGAGTTTCTGATTCAGTAGGTCTAGGGTGAAGCTTGAGAATTTGCATATATAATAAAGTCTCAAGTAATTCTGGTGCTGTTGGTCCCAGGGCCAATTTGAGAGTCTTCTACTCCCCTCCTATTCCCATCTTGTAAAACATTCCCATCTTGTAAAACATTCCACAGAAAAAGTGTTCCTCTGAGTATACTTTGGGAAACAAAAGGCTAGAGAGATGCAGGGGTCAAATACTGAAAGACATTTTGTGTTATATGAAGGGATTTGCATTTAAACTAAATTTGATGAGGACTATTATATGATTTTAAACACGGGAATACTTAATTACAGTTGTGTTTTTAAAAAATGATTTGGCAGTAGCAGGAAGTTTAATAAATTAAAACTTATGAAATAGTCAATAAATAAAATTGATAGGTTTATGAAAATACTTATGAAATAGTTAGGTAAAATTAATAGAACTCATTATGTAAATGGTGAGAAAGAAGAGAGAGAGGGAAACGTCAATGGAACTATCCATAAGGTAATTAGGTAAACCAGCCTGGAGTTTAGAAAGCACTCTGGACTACGGATATAGCTTGAAGAATTCCAGGATGTATGTGGTAGCTGAAATTACGGACTAAACAAGTTTACTCAAAGAGAGAGAGAGAAGACTACATGGCTAGAGGCAAAACCTTGGGGAGAAAGTCTAAAAGAGAATAACATTTTATGAAAGAGGGAAATAGATGGGGGAGTGAGGACCCTGTTGAAATGGGAGAAAATGGGATCCAGAGTAAATGTTGGAGGATTCGACTTGAATGTAAATGAAGAGCAAGGCTTCCTCTGAGTCAGGCAATAAAGAATCTTGCAGATAAGTCTTGTTGATGGTGAGAAAGGACAGCTAGAAATTTCTATCCTGAGAGAAGAGGAGGAGTAAATAGTAAAAGTTTGAAACAACCTCTGCAAGGAATGAAAGTGGGCCTTGAGTTGGACCCAGAGTGGCCCTGCCAGGGAGCTGGGGAGCGCTGTTGAGGGTGGGGCCCTGCACTTACAAGGATGCTACTCTGGACCATCATGAGTTTCCTCCAGGACTGGATTCAGAAGTCAAGGAAACAGAGTGTTGGATTTACTACTGGAGGGCAATGAAGTAGGAAAAGGATTTAAGTGTCTGACCAGAATGGTTGGAGTGTTGGAACAAATATATTTTATGGTCCAGAGGAAGGAAGAAGAGAAATGGGAGGGAAGATGGAGGAGTAGATCTAGAAAAAGGAGGGAGGAGAAAGGAAGGACAGCAGATTGTTGGAGGAGGAAGTTTGTGTTTAGGCATTCAGACCATGGCGGGGCAGGGATAGAGATCACATAAAGGGCTCTAGAGTGGAGGTCGAGAAGAGCTGAGGAAAATGATACCTCAGGTAAGATAAGGAAGCTGTGGTAACTCTAAAAAGAACTTACAGAATTTGTGTGTGTGTGAGCAGGTGACTGCTGCAGTGTACGTAGAAAGATGGTCTTCCTTCAAGGTAAGTGATGGCTGAAAGTTTTGGCAACAAGGCTTATAGATGGAAAATCAGGACAGCGTGAATATAAAGACACAAAAGAAAATGAAATAGAGGTAAGCCTGAGTATTAAAAAAGAAATAAGCTTTAAATTATACCAAAAAG